ACAAAAACAGTTTTCAAAATCTCTATTACTATGTTTTTTCCTTACTCAAGTCCAACCTCAACCGCTTTTCCACCTGTTACTTGATTTACATTCTTTATTTACCATTTCCCACAGCTCCAGGTTTGATTCAGCATTATCTAAAACCACCATTTATCAACAGTGGTATCAGAGTTTACTCGTCATTGATTCTTCCTCTTTCATCCACTGTCAAGTCACTGGTTTTTTCTTGGATTGTCAGACTTTACAGATCAATCATAGACTCCCCCTCATCAGCCCCTGTCATTTATGTTTCTTATAGATTAATTCTACAAGGGTCCCCAAACAATTGCATTCTGAACACCATTTAACATTAGTTATCTTTTTTTTTTTTTGCACTTAGATTTAAAAGTACAAGAATATCTTAAATTATCTCCTTAAAATTTTTATAGTCTTCCAAATGAACCTGTCAGGAAACTGGAGGGAAACAATTATACAAAAGCCATGTCACAAGAGCTGTTGGAACTGGAATTTGTTTGGTCTTAGTTGGCTATAACTCAATCAAAACTCATTTGGTTTTTGTGGCCATGGTAAGCAGAGGGGGTAAAGTTGAAAAGAATTTTATAGTGGATATTCATCACTATAAGTAGGGGACCACCCATGTTTGAGATCCCTTCCTCTGTTTAGGGAATTCCTTACCTTTTGTAACTTAAATATGGTAAACAGAGTCTTCTTCCCATAATGAACTGAAATCGTCAGACAAGCAGAGTCTCCCAGCTCTGTGACAGCTGAAGCAAAGGTATATGATCTGGAGTCAGCAAACCAAAATAACCAACCTGGGATTTTTACCCTGGAGACAAGTGAGGCAAGGATTGGGACAGTTCTTGGAAGGGAGGAGAGATGGGACTGGAAATAGTAACATCCTTTCTCAATAGCCTCGGGGGCCAGCGTGGCACACAATTTTTTGTTCAGTGGTGGAGGCCAGGGCATCCATAATCTTTGGTGAAACTAGACTGAAGTGTGATTTTTGCCTATGATTCTGGCTATATAGGCTTCCTTTTATTCTTGCTATTTCCAAATCTGGTTCCCTAGGTTTTCACAACTCTGTGTGTTACCCCATCTTCAATAATTCCCTTTTCTGCTTAAATTAGCCAGAACTGTTTTTCATTGCTTGTAACTAATAACCTGAACCAATACAATTATCCTATACTGAGATTTCCTCTTCACGCATGGACTTGACATGCCTTTGCTCATTTTATCTATTCCTTTCTGTAGAATGGAATTATTTCCCTTCATTTTATCTTCACTTACATAAGAAAAATTGAGATTTAGAGAGGTTAAGTAGTAGAAAAAATATTTTTTATCTTACCTTAAACAGACTTTTTCTGCAACATTCTCAAGAAGGAAACAAACTTGCTTATTTATGTATTTTAAGATTTATTTATTTATTTGAGAGAGACAGAGCAAGGGTGGGAGACAGAGGGAGAGGGAGAGAGAGAGAATCCCAAGCAGTCTCCCCGCTGAACACAGAACCAACACAGAGGGACTTGATCTCAGGAACCTGAGATCATCACCTGAAATGAAATCAAGAGTCGAACACTCAACTGACCGAGACAGCCAGGCACCCCAAGAAGGAAACAAGTTCAAAAAGAATCATGCTCATAATTTTTGATTCTTTAAAATTTCTTTTCTTTTTCATAAATTAAAGCCTTCTGTTTAGCTCTTGGTTGATCAGTTTTATAACAGGAATCACAAGCCAGTGCTTACAGACCCATGTCAGGGAAAATTTGGGTTAGTTTCTTCTCTGGAATTCAGTTTCCTGTCTATAATGGGAACTAGCCCTTTGCTTTTAATAAACCAAGGAAGGCCAATATCCATTGCATTGTATTTATTGCAGGGTTTCTTATCAACGGCACTGACATTTTGGACTTCTTAGTTCTTGGTTGTGGGGCTGTCCTATACATTGTAGAGTCTTTAGTATCATCCCTGGCCATTACTCTCTAGATGCCCGTAATACTGCCTATCTTCTCCCCATCACAACCACCTTTTATTGTTACTTAAAAAAAAAAAAAAAAAAGTCTCCAGACATTGCCAAATTGCCCCTGGCTGAGAATCCTTGGGTTCTAGAAAGGAACAAATGAAGGGAAGCAAGGAGGTGTGATAAAGATCAAAAAACATAAGAAAGCAAGTGAGGGAAGATTCTAGCTTGAGAATCTAAACAAAAGACATAAATCTAATTCAATCCAAATTCAAATGCAAATTCAAATTCAATCCAAATTCTTTAAGATTACAATCTTTCTAGTGCTAAAAGATTTAACCTAGATTCTGGACTATATTCTGAACAGTTGCTAGGTGAATCATTTGAGTTTCCATTCTTGAGAAAGACATTCATGTTTCTTTATTAGGTTTCTCCTTGCCCCGAGAAGACAAGCAGTAATGATCAGAGAAGGTGTTGTTCAGTCTTCTCAGAGAAAAGAACAGCATGCCTCACACTTAGTCTTAGGGATCCATAAACCCAAGACCTAAAAACACAAGCTAAAGGTAGGGAATTTTACACCTGTGGCCCTGCATTAGCACAGGAAGACTCCGAAAATCAGCAGAAAGCATGCCAGGGGCTGAGCAGGGTGGTAGTTTTGTGGCTGCTTCTTAGCACAACCTAACTGCAGAAGAGCTTGTCACCTCCAGAGCAGGTACAGCAAAACAGGTATGTTCTTCAAATACCCAGGCTGTACATTTGTACTCTACTTTCTCCATAGATTGTGGTCTTAATAAGACTTTACCTTCTACCTGAAAATAAATAAATAAAAGAATTTTCAGCTTCTCTCTAAATAAATAAGCATGGTCTGGGGGAACAAATGGAGCTTTTATTCTTCAAAACATTTTAAAACTTTTTATGATCCAAATATTTATATTTGTAATGTTCAAATCATGAAACAACCTAAAAATCTATCATTTAGTAGTTAATCAAACTGGGACAATACTCTTTTTTTAAAAAATATTTATTTATTTATTTATCAGATGTAGATCACAAGTAGGCCGAGAAGCAGGCAGAGAGAGAAGGAAACAGGCTCCCCGCTGAGCAGAGAGCCCAATGCGGGGCTCAATCCCAGGACCCTGGGATCATGACCTAAGCCGAAGGCAGAGGCTCTAACCCACTGAGCCACCCAGGCACCCCGGGGACAATACTCTTGATGGGCTATTAGGCATTTAAATTTATATTTATGGAAAGTATAAATTCACATGAAAAATATAATAGTGAAAGTGCGGAATATAAAGTTGTATATGAGTATATGTTTACAATCTGATAAAATAAAACTGTTTACAGTATAAAATAGTAACAGAGATGATGCCAGAATTGCAGGAAAGCTATAGAAATACCAGGGAAGAAGAAAATGTTATACAGTGTAATTTCAGGGCTCATTTAAAGCAAAGGTCATCCTGCGGTGACCAACAGAGGATGCAAAATGGACCTCATCTTTGTGCCACAAAACAGAAAAATTAGCTGTCGCTGATGGCAGATGACGGCATAGGGTTTAGTAAGCATTTCCTTTTAAGTAACCATGAATTCACTCTTTTAGTAAGACAGAAGAAAAAAAGATTTTCCATGAGTATTTCTTTTTGTTTTTCTTGAAGTCTAGGCAGAGAAAATAAACTGGAACAACTGTTTGATTGGCGCACAGGACTAAAATTTATTTATTTTTTTCCTTCCTTGCTTCTTTTTTTCCCAAATTTTCTTTTATTGAGCATGACTTTCCGATTTGAAGATTCTAAAATCTAAAAAAAAAAAAAAAATTCTATCACTAGACAAGAGAAATAAATGATCAAGTTTGTTGAAAATCAGGATATTGGTAGAAAAGAAATCCCTTATCATTCCCCATCTCAGTAGTAAAAGAAAACAGAGGTTAAAAAAAAATCAGGAAAGAGGAGCAGACAAGTCTTTTGAGAAAAGCACACAGAAATCCTTACTCTGGAAATAGAATGAACTGATTATTAGAGCAAAGAAACTTTTTGGCTTCACAATGAAAACTGTAGCAAAGAGAGGTGGGTTGAAGAGCACATCACAAAAGTTTTTCAATATTAGAAAATTTGGAGCAATCCACTCAGGCCAAAATGCATGGGGAAATTCAGGTCTTCCACCTGGCAGGAGAAAGCTTCGCTATATAATCTTTTGCTTAAAATGCTTTTAAATTCCTCAGCAGGGATGAGCCCAGCAAGTAAAAGAGCCTCAACAAAGGCGTGCCTGGGACAAATGAAGCCTTCCTTCTGCAGCTGGATTTCAGAACACACAAGTTCCTCTGAAGAAACTAGAGGCCTTTTCTTCCATTACAGATAGATGAAGGTAAGGGACCCATTTTGATGTTTCATTCTCATCTGAGTCAACCATATTTTTGCCATTCAAATTTTTGAATTTGAATTTTGAATGGCAAAAATATTGTCCAAATATGATAGTTGGGTGGGTCGAGTGATAGATGAACTGAACCAGTTCTCTGTGCCTCTACACCTCTCTTCTCGGTGGCGCATTGTTTCACATAGCAATAAAATGTTACTGGAACAACAATAATAAAGAAAATACCTGCCCATTTCCCCATACTGGTTAATGGGAGTAGAAAACACCTGCCTGTTGCAGGTCTACAAAAATGGTTTTAATACAGGGTCACAGAAAATTCAAAGGTTTATAGCCCATAATAAAACAGCTCTTTGTCTTTTCCCACTAATTCCCTAGTGTCACATTTAACAAAACAAGGAAACTACAGATAGTAGGGGTGTTTGCAGATTAGCCTCCCAAGCCATAAATAACAGAGGGTTTTGCTCACCTACAAATATTAAGGCAGCTTATCAATGTTTAATCCCTTTGTGATGGTTGCTAACATTTTAACCCAGGCGAATTGAGAATTTTTTTCTTTCCTGTCTTCTTACATTGACAGAGTACACATTCATAAGATTCTATTATCAGATTTCACCGTATAAAGAGTGGGACATCCCCTGAACACTCGCCTGCTGCCTGGGAGGCCTCGTTTGGGAAGATGCATCTGCTTTATGCTTTCCTTGCTTTGCTTTCTCTTAGTGATGGTTTCCATCCCGCCTGTCCCAGCCGATGTAGCTGTGATTCCCTGCAGTCAGTGCAATGCTACAGGCTAACGGAGGTGCCGTCCGCTCTTCCTTCCACCACCAAGAAGCTCTACATTAGCCACAGCAAAATTCCACACCTTCAGGTAACCATTCCATGCTCAAGTTGCCGCAGTCTTATTTTTTGAGGCAGGGTGAGGGGGGGACGGTGGGGCTGGGAGGCTTGATTTAAATGATCAACCCTTAAAAGTGGTGGTTATCAAGTTTGGATCGTTGGACTAACTATCTGCTTGCCCTTTACTCCTGAGAGGGGTATATGCCTCTGGGTATTTCTTTTTAGAGACTCAGTCAAAAACCATCAGAATCTATCATTCATGATGTTTTATTTCAGTTTTTACGTTTGTAAAAATGTAATTATGTTGTTGCAAAGTAGAAGTAAAGAAGTGGCTCTTTCTTAACAAAGAGAGCTTGAGAATCAATGGCTACTCGCTATTCTTGGAATTGACAATGAGTGCTTTTGGGGGATAAAAAAGGAGTTTTGTTAGTGCCATAGAAAGCAGGTGATCCTTAGAGCATTGTAAGACTATCCAGATGAACCCCAGCACGTGAGAATTATTTGTAGCAGACCCTACACATGTGCCAGACATCAGGGGCTTTGTGGAAACATCTACAGAGGAAATAACGTGTTTTTGATTTGGCATGTTATTGCAGTACTTGTTCTATGAACTTCTTTTTTTTTTAAGATTTTTATTTATTTATTTGACACCGAGAGAGCGAGCGAGACAGAGAGTAAGGGCAAGCAGGGGGAACAGCAGGTAGGGGAGAAGCAGGCTCCCCGCTGAGCAGGAAGCCCGATGTGGGGCTTGATCCCAGGACCCTGGGACCATGACCTGAGCTGAAGGGAGATGCTTAACCCACTGAGCCACCCAGGCGCCCCTGTTCTATGAACTTCTAATTTTGACTTTTACATTTATGCCAAGCTTGTCAGAGTGCAAAGAGTGCTATAGATTTGTCTGGCTTTTATAATACAAAAGAATTTTGTTTTTGGCCTTTGATATTTTGGAAGCTATAGAGAGACAAGCGTCCTTATCCTAGCTTTCCCCCTAGCCAGAGATATAATCATCTTAAGCAAACACTTAAAAAAAAAAAAAAATCCCTGGGCCTCACTTTCTACCTTTTTGAAGTAAGAAGTTTGGGTTAGATTGGTGATCCCTGACTCTTTTTACCTGGAGAAGTCAATCTGATTTTGTCTTTACCGGTCACTGCTCTTGCCTCCTTGAACCGAATCCCAAGAGAAGGAAATACATCTCTGTGGGACAGGTGCAGAGAGTCCACAGGTGGCTGTAATTTCCCTCCACATAGAGACACCCTCCCTTTTCGTCTGGTTAAGAAATTCGAATGTAGGTGCACCTAAACACGGAGAGTTTAAAGTATGTGGTATGGTATTGATTTCAAGACTCAATAAGCAAAATTACCTAGTGGACATGTGGACTCTCCTCCTGTAATCCCGTAGTAAGATGCTTAAATATTTGTTCTGGAAGCCTGAGATGCCCAGAGCTGAAGTGTGAGCTAAGCCCGGTAGTGATCTTACACTGCTGTTTCGCAGCCAGGAAGATGAAATCACTCCTCTCATCAGATTCAGTTACCGAATGAGCGCATTGGTTTATGTTCACTAAACGGCAATACTGCCACTTCCCTGACTTCAACCCAGTTCATGGTCTCTTGGAAGGACAGTTTCAGCAGAGAGGTTGATGAAAGACAGGATTGTTTTGGGAAGGAAATAAAAAGCTCTAAGCAATAATACATCTCTTTTAGCTGTCTTTGGTGAATATGATATATGTTCTACAGAATCAGGTGCCTGTATTCCAAGAAATAAACCTTAGAGTAACTTCAGATTAAAGCAATAGAAATTACACACATATGTACACACACATATACATATATATGCACACATACATATACACACACGCCACATACAAACACACGTGTACACCCTACACATATACATGCAAACGCCTCACAATTTAAAATGTTTCTATTACTTCTTCATCTAATTTGTGTTTGGGACTGCGAATGCTGTGTTTGAGACTGGGGATAAAAGACAAAAAATTCACAGTTCCTGCCCTTGAGACATGATGGCCTTCATTATCCGTTTATGTGTAAAGCTGCCTGCTTGTTTGAGGTGCATGCCATTGGACTGTAGCACTCCTTGTTTCTTCTTCCTTTGTTTCATACTGTGCCTCAGCCCCTTCCCTCCTGGCTTCTGGTCTTGCTTTCCATCCTGAGCCCTGTATGTCCTTGGTGCCACCAGGGTGCAGTGTCCTAGCTCATAAGAATTCCCTGAGCTGATACTAAAGTATCCATCTACGTTTCCACTTCACCACAGCCATGTACTTGGTGATATCATAATCATTATACCGAAACTCCTCCACTCAGAAATCTCCAAATCCCCCATTCTCTGATCATTATTATCTTCCTTGCTTTCAGCTGCCATATTCTGTACTTCTCTTGTCACCTCACGGAGACTTCTAACCCTACATCAACCCGTTTTTCTCAGATCATTAGTTTATTTCCTATCATCTTCTTTCCCATCCCCCCCTTTTATTTTCATCTCCCAAATAAATTATCTCAACACCTATCCCGCAAAGCCTTAGTCTTAGATAATGGTGATCATCTTCTCTTGTTTCTCTTATACCTAGATAGCCTGATGCCGCTGGAGAGGATCACACCACCTCTCTACACATATGTATGCATAAGTGTGTGGTTTGGAACATTCACAGATTTGTAGAAATACTGCAAATTTAAGGTCTCTGACTTCATCTGGGTCTTCAGTGTCATCGGTCCTTTCAATTCTTCTTGGTCAGGCTTTCCTACCTTCCATCAACATCTTCCAAAACTTCAGTAGAGTTTGGGTTATGTTCTCAATCTCTACTATCCTCATTCTCACCCATGGCTGGCCTCCCATTTTATTGACTAATCCTAACAAAACTCAACTTCTGCTCACTGTGGACTAACTTGTCTCCATTCAGTTCTGCAAACTCTTTCCTCCAGACAGAAAGGATGAGATCTCCCTTCTTCTGCTCAAGGCAGCGTCCCACTCATCCCCTGGAGTCCATCTTCTTTGCCACTCCCTGAAGCTTGCTCCATCATTCTCCCCACACCCATATCTTCAGTTTCTCTTTCCTTACTAGTGCCTTATTCTAGCTTATAAATAGATAGGCCCCTTTCATTACAATAAAAATAAAATTATTTGGGGGCACCTGAGTGGCTCAGCTGGTTGCATGTCTGACTCTTGATTTTATCTCATGTCATGATCTCAGGATTGTGGGATTGAGCCTTGCATCTGGCTCCACATTCAGTGGGGAATCTGCTTGAGATTCTCTCTTTCCCTCTCCCTCTCCCCACCACTTAAATAAATAAATAAATAAATAAATCTCAAATAAATAAATAAATGTTTAAAATAAAACAAAATAAAATAATTTTAACTCTCTTTGTCTCTTCCTGCTACTGTCTCTCTTTACTTGCAAAACTCCGTTAAAGGATACTCTGTACTTACTGTCCCTAGTTTACCTCCTATTTATTCTTTAATTCACCACTGTCTGGTTTCTACCTACTCCAAACAGTTAAACCACTATTCCTTCTAAGACACTGGGTCACTCCTATTTCTTGAAATTCTTACTCTTTTGCCTTCCATGGCACCATACTTTTATGTCCTCATGATTCCTTTCTGATAGTTCTTTTCTGCCATTTTTGTAGGTTTCTTTCCCTCCCCTTCCCCTTATTTTTGTTGGCTTCTCCGGGGAGTCTCGGTCCTCAGCCATGCCATTTCTTACTATGTACAGTCTACTTAGGTGACTTCACTTTATGTAAGTAATGATGGCTCCCATAACTGAATTTCTAATTCATGCCTTCCTCCCATGTTTCAGACTTATCCAGCTCCCTATTGGACCTCTTCATATATGTATATCACCTCAAAATAACATGCCCAAAACTGAAGTCAATCTTTCCCCCTAAACCTGTGGTCTCTTGTCGCTGGCTTCTTTCACTTAAAATAATGCCCTCAAGGTTCATCCATGTTGTAGCATATTTCAGAATTTCCTTCCTTTTGAAGACTAAATAATATTCCATCTTATGTATATACCACATTTTGTTTATCCATTTGTCAGTTGGTGGACATTTGGGTTGTTTCCTCTTTTTAGATATTATGCTCCAAAGAACATTCATGTACAGTTTTTGTGTGGACATATATTTTTTTTAATTTATTTATTTGACAGACAGAGATCACAAGTAGGCAGAGAAGCAGACAGAGAGAGAGGAGGATGCAGGCTCCCCGCTGAGCAGAGAGCCGGATACGGGGCTCGATCCCAGGACCCTGGGATCACAACCCGAGCTGAAGGCAGAGGATTTAACCCACTGAGCCACCCAGATGCCCCTGTGTGGACATATATTTTCATCTGCCTTGGGTATATATCTAAGAGTAGGATCTCCGGGTAAAAATGGTAAATCTGTTTCACATTCTGAGGAACTGCCAGATTGTTTTTCCAAAGTGGCTCCATTGTTTTGTATTCCTAGAGTATTGTATGATGGTTTTGGTTTCTCCACATTCCTGCCAACTCTTCTTATTGTTTTTTTGGATCATAACCATCCTAGTGAGTGTCTGTTAGAATCTCACTGTGGTTTGACTTTTCTATCACTAGAGGTTAATGATGTTGAGCATCTTTTTGTGCACTAATTGACCACTTGATATCTTTTTTGGGGAAAATGTCTCTATGAATCCTTTGCCCATTTTTTTGAAATTGGGTTCTTTGTCTTTTCATTTTTGAGTTGTAAGAGTCCTTTGTATTTTCTAAATACAAATCTCCTATCAGATCTATTATTTGAGAAAATGTTCTCCCATTCTATGGTTGTTTGTTGTTGCTGTTGTTAATTTTCTTAATGGCGTCCTTTGAAGCACAGGTTTTTAATTTCCAGTAAGTCCCATTGACTATTCTTTGTGTATGTCACTTTAGCTTTTGGTGTCATATCTAAGATAGCTCTTATCAAACCCAAGGTCATGAAAATTTATGTCTGTATTTTCTTGTAACAGTTTTACGGTTTTGGCTCCTATGTTTAGAGGACAAATAGGAATGCCTTTAGGACGGCAGTCAATTAAAATGATTGTTCTTTACATCTTCAGTGGAAGGAGAGAAGCTACTTCAGATTCCTCCTGGGTAGGAAACATAAACAGACTTGATTACCAAGTGGGAGGATTATGGACTATTTTTATATTCTCTCCATACTTGCCAGAATTTTAAAATTATTTACAGAGAACAAGTATATTGATGATCAGGAAAAAAAAGTTCCGATATTGTTTTACTTACTGGCTTGGTGCACACAGGTCTGAGCCTCTAACTACAGGGGTATTTCGGTTATCATGTGGACATTGAACCTAAAAGCAACCCAAGAAAGGTTTGTGGCCCTCTAATGCTTGCAGCAGGACCCACCCAGAAGAAACTGGAAACAAAGCCTTTCATGAGGAAGCCAGCAGACCTTGCTTCTCTGATCTACCTCATTTTACTTTTCTTGCTTCTTTTTCATTTTTTGAATTTTATTATAACTTTTATCTACATATATTTTAGGTTCACTAAACTGTAAAAATGTGTGGCAGGAATTATACTTAAACTTCCTACACTTAATCATTAACACCAAGCCCTACTTGCCTTGCTTTTTAAGCAAAATTGAAAAAACTCACATAGCCTCAAGGTTAGCTCGAGGGCAAAAGCATCTCTTTTTCACATCTCCTGAGCACAGTTCAGCTTAATCCAGGGAAATGGAAAAACTGGTCTAGCAGAATTGTTTTCCTTTTTCTGCTTTGTAAATTCAACTGAAAGGTTGAAAATAAGTATCTTCCCCACTGTTTGTGGTGTCAGTATTCTATATTCTTCTGCTAAATGCATGTCATAGGAGTGAGGTTAAAATAAAAATATGTGTGTTGGGATGAGATAAATCTGGGTTGGAAGCTCAATTTTTCCACTTGCTAGCAAGATATACTAAGCCCAGATATTTTATCTCCTCAAGCCTCAGTTTCCCTTTCCGAAAAAGGAATAATCATGTTTACACACAGGACTTTATAAAGATAACCACAGTAAATACTTAGAAAATGGTAGCCATTTTTTAAAGATTTTATTTTTAAATAATGTCTACACCCAATGTGGGGCTCCAACTAACAACTCCGAGATCAAGAGTCGCATGCTCCTCTGACTGAGCCAGCCAGGTGTCCCAAGAAGATGGTAACCATTTTAATTAATAATAACCCAAAGTAATCTGCCTTCACTGACAGAAAGAAAAAAGAAAGGTCTCTATGCTTACTAAAAGAAAATTCCGTTAAGAACATGAACTATGTCAATGATTTACGCCAGTCTGTACACTTGACGAGTAGAATTGAAGCTCTGATTTGACACTTTGTCTGGTCCCCAGATAAATTGCCCATTCGGATCCATGTTACCCCTGAGACTTGCTGCATACTCAGCAATCTTTTAGGGTTTGTAGTCACTCAGACAAAAGTGGAACTATTTTTTTTTTTAAAGATTTAATTTATTTATTTGTCAGAGAGAGAGATCACAAGTAGGCAGAGTGGCAGGCAGAGAGAGAGCAGGAAACAGGCTCTCTGCTGAGCAGAGAGCCCGATGCGGGGCTCGATCCCAGGACCCTGAGATCATGACCTGAGCTAAAGGCAGAGGCTTAACCCACTGAGCCACCCAGGTGCCCCCAAAAGTGGAACTATTAATAGCACCAAGTTCTTATGGAAGATCAGCAATCTAAGAAGTGAAGATCTATGTCTAGAGTCTTTTCTAACTTTATATGCAAGAAACCTTAGAAAGGGCACTTTGAAATGAAAAGTGTATTAAAGAACAGTCTTGGGCAAGTCTTTTCATTTTTGGTGGGGAGGCTGAAATTCTTCATCCCTTTAATGGGAGATTTGAATTAGATAATCTCCAAAATTTCTACTTTTCTAAATCTCTAGGATTTATGTCTAGATTTTGTCTTTTTTGAAAAACATTAATTGTAGACCAGATGCAAGGGAAAATGGTAAGTTGAGGAAGAAAGAGTTTAGAGTTAAGAGTTCAGTCTGTTTAGAGTTCAGCATACCTTGTTGAAATTCTCAACTCTTTCAAGTTTGATGTTAGCAAACTTGCAGGGTTATTAGAAGAATTAGTGATAATGTACTGTTAATAAACAAAATTTAACTGAGTACCTTGGAAGATGTAATAAGTAAGCTATTCATGAATCACGCAGCATCTCCTCTAGCAGGCAGAGCTATGCTCCCAGAAGCTGTTATCAAATGGGAGGATTTTAGGGTGGAGCAAGGGAGTTACTGAGAAAACAGTAAGTAAGGATGGTTTCAGGTCGGGTCAAGTTCCTTTTGAGAATAAGGGAAGGGCAGGGTTTTTATAATGATGATTATGTCACTAATGCTGATCAGGAAATTTCAGGTTGACTGTTAAAGTTCACATTCTTAAGAGAGGTTAAAACTGTAATTAAGTATTTGCTGTCATGGGTGGGGACAAATGACTCCATTTGGGACTTGGGTGTGGGGTTTTTTGTTTTGTTTTGTTTTGTTTTGTTTTTAACAAAAAGCACTTGGCACCTGTAGATAGTCAACAAATGCAAGAAAAAAATACTATTAATATCGGGACTAGGACTAACTAACACATCTGACTGATCATTAAGAGAAGATCATGTGGTAGCAGCAATGTACAAATCAAGGCAGCTGCCAAAGCTTTTATGATTAAAAACATCTGTTTATGGAAATTTTAACATGAGATTCTTCCAATGGAGTATCATCTTAGGAGAAGCTTTAAAATATACCATAGGGACGCCTGGGTGGCTCAGTTGGTTGGGCAGCTGCCTTCGGCTCAGGTCATGATCCCAGCGTCCTGGGATCGAGTCCCACATCGGGCTCCTTGCTCATCAGGGAGCCTGCTTCTCCCTCTGCCTCTGCCTGCCATTCTGCCTGCCTGTGCTTGCTCTCTCTCCCTCTCTCTCTCGGACTAATAAATAAATAAAATCTTTAAAAAAAAAAAAATATACCATAATTCACATCACATGTCCTCCTAGGCTATAAGTACCTTTACTAAATATGTGGTGCAAAATTAACCCGCCTTGAATGTGTTAATCATGCACTGGTATTACAGAAGGGCTCAACTGCATAATTAAGTCAAACATTCAAAAACTGTAGATAGTAAGACATAAAACTGTGCATTGGAAAAAAATGTTTAAAGACTTTATTTATTTATTTATTTATTTGAGAGAGAGAGAAAGAGAGAGAGCACACAAGCAGGGGGAGTGGCAGAGGAAGAGGGAGAAGAAAGGTCTCTGGGTAGCAGGGAGCCCAAGTCAGCTGGATGCTAGGATCCTGGTATCATGACCTGAGCTGAAGGCAGACGCTAAACCGACTGAGCCGCCCAGGCACACTGTGCATTGAAAATTTTAGCTCAATTGAATTCTAAACCAGACTGAAAATTTTGTGAATCTTTATCAAGCTGAAGAAAACCTGGAACAATTCCTCTTTCTGCCTAGAGATGATCTTACTCTAAGAACTAAATACCAAGGATTACGTCATCCTGGAGAAGACCTAGATGGCAAGGTAGGAGATTGATAGATATGTGGAAGGATAGGAGTGCTTGAACTTGCAACCCATGGAGAAAGTATATCAGATTTGATCATTTCTAAAATCTAAGAGAAGAGTAGATTAGGTCTGGATTATATGCCAAATGGAATCTTTGCTCTCAGGCATGGAGACACATGTATCCTGTTTGTTTCTTTCTGGATCTTTTTCATCAGTGAAGTGCAAATTGAGGGGTAGGGAAGAGGGAGGCTAGGCTAGTTTTACTAACTATAATATAGTTGAAAATGTTTCTCTGATAGGCCCATCCTAGTGACAGCAGGGTCTAGGATACTTAAAATTTTTACTTTTAATGCTTAAAAAATTTTTAATGTAATTTATAACATTAAAAAATCATCTAAACAATGAAAAATGAAGACAGCAATTTCCAGATCATTCCCATTCTGGGCTATTGTAAAATGATGCCACAAAGAGCATCCTATTGTACAAATCACTGTGCAACTTGTAAGCACTTCTGGCTAGAAATAAACTTGCTGGGTCAGAGACTATATAGCAAAAGTTGGCTAATATTATGTCTACCAATACTGCGTGAATGTCCTAATGTACATTTGATATTTTAGACTGTTAGCAAACATAAATAAAAAATAGTCGGGACCTGGGGCGCCAGGCTGGCTCAGTCAGTGGATCATACAACTCGATCTCAGGATTGTGAGTTGGAGCCCCACGTTGGGTGTAGAGACTACTTAAAAATAAAATCTTAAAAAAGAAATAGTCATGGGGCACCTGGGTGGCTCAGTAAGTTAAGCAGCTGCCTTCAGCTTAGGTTATGATCCCAGAGTCCTAGGATTGAGCCCCGTATCAGGCTCCCTGCTCAGCAAGGAATCTGCTTCTTCCTCTTCTTCCCCACTGCCACTTCCCCTGCTCATGCTCTCAATCTCTCTCAATCTCTCTCAATCTCTCTCTCTCTTTCTCTGAAATAAACTTTAAAAAGTCAGGATCTTAGTTTCCATCCTTTTCCAAGAGATAATTTTAAATAGATCTTGAAGAGAAATCTGAAGTATCATTAGTATTAAATGATAATGTGTAGAGTACTCCCCCCCGCCGACAATAATCTTAATTTACTGCTTTTTCTCTTTGTGACCCATCCCTGACTTTTTTGCAGATGTCCAGCTTCACCCGAATGTTGGCTTTGGAAGATTTTATTCTGCTGGCTAGTGGAACAGAGTCAGTAGAAAATGACACTTTCAAAACTCTGAGTAATTTGAAGACCTTGGAACTCTGGAAAAATAAGTTAAGACAAGTCCCCAGGATTCTCCCAGCCAGTCTTGAAGTGTTAAAACTAAATGATAATTCAATATATGTCCTAAATGGATCCGATTTTGAAGGACTGAAGAAATTAAAAATCCTTGAACTTAAAAACAATCTGATCTCTTCTCTGTCTCCCACCATACTCTCCTCTCTTGTCAGTTTGCAGAGTTTGGTGTTAGATGACAACAATATTGAATCTGTAGCCGGACCGCTGGCACTTCCCCACCTGAAACGCATGAGCGTGGAGAATAACAGACTCGATCTTATACCACCCAACTTCTTCACGTCTCTCCAGTCTTTGCAATTTCTCAGCTTCAGTGGTAACTTTCTGACTAAAATTCCTATTAATCTGCCCAAATCTCTGCTCTCTTTAAAAATGGAGAGGAACCAGCTCAAAGTGGTAAGTTTTCGAGATATGAAACACTTGGAGCATCTCTCCCATCTTTATCTGTCAGAAAATTCACTCTCCTCCATTGACGGGGCACAGATACTTGCCAATTTAACTACTCTTGAGCTGTCCCAAAATCAGGTTCAAATGTTGCCCCTCAGATTACCAGCAAAACTACAAAAACTCGACATTAGCAATAATCTGATTCAGAGAGTTACAGCGCAAGACTTCCAGGACCTCCGAGACTTGAAACACTTGTTTCTGGACAACAACATTGTTAGCTTGTTCGAAGCTGGAGCCCTGCAGATGTGTTCCCAGCTCTCCAACCTGGCCTTGGAGCAGAACCTGCTGTTGTCTATACCTCTGAGGTGAGTGGGAGTTATTATTTATGGTGACTACTTTAAATGTTTTCTGAAAATCGGGGCAATGAAGCACATTAGACAAGCAAGAAAAAAAAAAAACTAGAACAAACATAAATGACCTGATCAAGGGTGCCCGAGAGTTCAAAGGTAGAGACTGTAGACAGGGTTTTGGAATCCCCAGCCCTCTAACTAAATCCTGCACCCACTTCATTTATCTTGCCTGTTGGATAAGACACCTGCAAGTGAGATCTATGTTGAAAATAGGCAATGCTGCTTTGGCGAAGTATGCTATTACACATAATATGGGGATCTTTCTTATAAAAGATCTTGGTTTTAAAATATGTGTTGTTTTTTTTTAAATTTTATTTATTTATTTGTTAGAGAGAGAGAGAGCATGAGCACAGGCAGACAGAGTGGTAGGCAGAGGCAGAGGGAGAAGCAGGCTCCCCGCGGAGCAAGGAGCCCGATGTGGGACTCAATCCCTGGACGCTGGGATCATGACCTGAGCCGAAGGCAGCCGCTTAACCAACTGAGCCACCCAGGTGTCCCTAAAATATGTGTTTTTAAGTATGTGGCCTGGGACCAGCAACAGGGAGACTGGGTGCTTAGCCACTAGCAAAACAAGGTTATGAGAAAGAAAGGAAGGGGAAATGTAGTAAGATACTTACATTTTTAACAGCATTGAAATAGCAATTATGAAAAAAAAATCACAAATGTATAATCTAATATTGTATTTATTTTGAGTTATATATTTGGAGGCTTCATATGCTTCTCAGCACTGAGATCTTTAAAGGACCTAAACATGGCTCTGCTTATTTCTCTGTCTGCCTGTGGGTATGAAAGCCCATTTGTGTTGGTCTCACCTTGTGTTTTTGGTTGTCTCTCTCATAAAAACATGTGCACATACACACCCTCATACTCTGACACTTAATTTCTCTTTCCAAATATCCCTCCCTCTGTGCCCAACCTCCTGTCCTGTTTCCTCACCCAGTCATAACTGATAATTAATGTACATGTTGACATTAACTGATCCTTTTTTAGGTAAACTTTATTCCATGTTCTACATGTATGAAATAGGTAAATTAAAAAATGGTAGAAGAAGAAAGCCCTATTATTCTCCTAGAAAGAGAATATGGGGGGCGCCTGGGTGGCTCAGTGGGTTAAGCCGCTGCCTTCGGCTCAGGTCATGATCTCAGGGTCCTGGAATTGAGTCCCGCATCGGGCTCTCTGCTCAGCAGGGAGCCTGCTTCCATCTCTCTCTCTCTCTCTCTCTGCCTGCCTCTCCATCTACTTATGATCTCTCTCTGTCAAATAAATAGATAAAATCTTAAAAAGAAAGAAAGAAAGAAAGAAAGAAAGAAAGAAAGAAAGAAAGAAAGAATATGGTTAATTATACGTGCCTATCAGTGGATTCATTTTCCTTTTGGTGCTTTATAGGGAATAAAAGTCCCCTTGCTCTGTTGATTATCATTATCAAATTGCTCATAAGTAACATACCAACTTCTGGTTTCTTTAGAGTCCTGTGGCACTCAATTTACTTATTTTCATTTTGTTACCAATGAGAAAGGGAAAAATTATCTTTGCTATGCACAGATGTTCATTTTTTGTAGTTGAGAAAAAAGATACTTTATTATACAGCATGGTAACTGTAACCCAATGCAAAACACCAGAAAGTAATTTTTATAATGGAAATTAGTATTTTAAAATATATATTGAGGGTTATTTGAAATTAATCAATTTTTAAATGCATAATCATGTGCATACAAATAATGTATTTTACCAGACCCTTGGGATATATCAGTGCAGTAAAAAATAAAACTTCTTGTTCTATACAGCCTAAATTCCAGCAGGGAAGTAGTAATAAGAAACAGAATGTACAAGTATATAACACTGAGGTGGTGTTTGGAGTTATAGTTAGCAACAACAAAAAAGGGCAGGCTTACAGGTTCAGGAGCGTGGGCATGGCTGGTTGCAATTTTAAATAGGGTAAGCATGGTAACTCTCATGAAAATGTAAACTTTGAGCAAAAACTGGAAGGAGGTGAGAGATTTAGCTGTGAAGCTGTTTGGCGGGGGAAGTGTTCTAGACAGAGCAGCCAATACAAAGACCCGAAGGCAAAAAACACGCAGTGTATTAGAACTCTAATACTTGATATTTCAATAATTTCTCTACTATGTTTCAAGTCTTATTTTCTATCACTATATACCCCTACTCCAAGAAAAAAAAATCATGTATAGAATAAAAACTCCTAAAACAGGTTGGGAAGTGACTGTTGTCATCAAGGATTCTCAATGGGCTGTGAGAGCCTTGGCAAAATTGTGAAGGCAGGGGACTGCTCTATTCAGCTGGCTTTTAGAAAGCATTTCGCTGAGTAATCCTGCTAAGTTTAATGAGTGAAAAGTAGCTTAATTATTTACTCCTGCCAGGGCATTTGTGTGTTTTAATAAGTGACTACAGAAAACACAATGCTTTTGCCCAATGGACTGTATAATAGAATTGCAAGCCTGAGGTAGCCATGATTCTCAAATCTGACTCCATGTTACAATTATCTGGAGAATTCTGAAAAAATCATACTTATGCCCAGGCCTCACTTCAAACTAATTAAAGCAGACACTCCAGGATTTGTGCCCAGGCATCAGTATTTTTGAAAAGCTCCCGGATAAATTTAACGCGCAGCCGGTTTAGAGAAGGTTTAGATCCGGTTTAGAGCAAGAACAATGAGCGAGGGACATGATGAGTGTGGGCTTTTCCTATGAGGCTTAAATTAAGCAACACAACTGTCTGTTCAGTCAAAGAACTTGGCCAGCTATGAGAGCAATGTGTTCTTTGTAGAAAGTGATTTTTAAATTCCTCATCAACCCCCCCTCCCACGTCCCAGCTTTTCTTTGACTTGGAAAATTGGAATGGCCCAGAAAAGTTTTTCCTTGATTGTCCTCCCATAAAGCATTAAAACTCAATACTGTTTTTAAATTTTTGATTGGTAGAACTTTTATTTATGAGCTTAAAACAATACACTCTTATTTGCATGGGTCTTATTCAGGCACAAAATTATACTTTAAAATTCAGTTTTCTATTAAGAAACTATAAACACAGGCAACCTATCCATTGCCAGTTGCTTACCTAACTGGTTTCTAGTTGCTGTGTATCCTACCACAAATCACAAATCCCTTCTTTTGCCTACCGTCCTCCAGTTTAAATTTCACCAAGGAAATAATAGTAGATGGGTGTAGGTACACATACATTCAAATATCTACTACATTTGCCTCAATATACAAATTGAGATAGAAAATAATACCTAGTATTAAGTACTGACTAACCCAACAGTGAATTTATATCCGTGTGTTATTCCCCATTACTTCTTACAACAATCCTGTGAAAGTAGGTACACTTTTTAACTATTATTTTATGGACTAGAACATTTAAGTATCAAGGAGGTATCAAGAGACTTCTCAAAATCAGATCATCAGTAAGTGGGAGAGTCCAGATTAAACACAACAGCTTAACTGCAGAGCCAGGGAATTTTTTTTTTAAAGATTTTATTTATTTATTTGATAGACGGAGATCACAAGTATGCAGAGAGGCAGACAGAGAGAGAGAAGGGGAAGCAGGCTCCTGCTGAACAGAGAGTCCGATGCGGAGCTCGATCCCAGGACCCTGGGATCATGACCCGAGCCGAAGGCAGAGGCTTAACCCACTGAGCCACCCAGGCGCCCCGGGAATTTTTTAAAATTAACTAATCTCTTTTTTATTAACATAGAATATATTATTTATTTCATCGGTCTTACACAATTCATCGGTCTTACACAATTCACAGCACTTCCCATAGCACACACTCTCCCCAACGTCCATCCCATCCCTCCCACACCCCTCCACTCCAGCAACACATATATTCTTAAAAGAAACTAATGGGCTGGAGGAGATTATGCTGAGTGAAATAAGTCAAGCAGAGAGAGTCAATTATCATATGGTTTCACTTACTTGTGGAGCATAAGGAATAATATGGAGGACATTAGGAGAAGGAAAGGAAAAGTGAATTGGGGAAAATCAGAGGGGGAGACCAAGCATGAGAGACTGTGGACTCTGAGGCTTTTGGAGGGGAGGGGAGTGGGGTTTGGGTGAACCTGGTGGTGGGTATTAAGGAGGGCACGTATTGCATGGAGCACTGGGTATGGTGCATAAACAATGAATCTTAGAACACTGAAAAGATAAAATTTAAAAAAAAAAAAGAAGAAAGAAACTAACAGAGCCAGGGAATTTTAGCCACCACATGATCACCTGCCCCTGAGGTGTACTCTGCTACAAACAATACACTAGATCCACTTAAAAACTTAGAATACCTAAGACCTGGGTCTCACTTTTGCTGTTCATTCTTATTTTACCAATCTGCAATTCGGCGAACAACGATAAGTTACATCATCTTATCTTTATTCACAATTTGGATAATTCAAATCCAGAATAGCTTTCTACAACCTACTGCAGGCATAACATTTTATCTTACTTATGCTTCCATGCCATCTACTGGTAACATGGGGTACCTCTTTTTACACTAAAAAGCAACAGACTCAAAGAATAAATAGCATTTTTAGAAGCAGGTTTGTCTTAAAATCAGGGATACCTTTCTCTATAAATCAGACTTAAAAGACAAATTATGTCAAAGCCATAAGTGACTGCCCTAATTTCACAAAACCAGGATATTGTTGATTTCGCTTACAGTGTCATTTTGGTTATAAGGCTCATCAAAACACAAAAGAAAAAAAAAAGGAAGACTAGGTACACATTTTGGCTCTGCAGCCTAGAAGTGATCATCATATTGGTTTAAAAGGAAACTTGGCTTTCTCATTTTCATTAGCTAACGTTTATTATGTGATTTCTGTGTACTGGGCACCTTCATCTATGAGGTGGACAATCAGAAGCTTTAAGCTAAATAACTTACCTGAAGTCGCGTGGCCAAAGTTAGATCTTGGGTCTTAATTAGTAGACAACTCTCAGTTTACTTTACCATATCTTTTCTCTGTTGTTCTTCCTTTACTTTCAAGGGTGCCAGAATCTTGCTTCCTGCCACATCATCTGTAAACAGTCCATCTTTCCTTGAAAAAAAAAAAAAAAAAGAAGCTATACGTAAGATTTTTCTGTATAACTTTTAGGGATTTACCTTATATCAGTTGGTATGTGCACAAAATTACATTTTCCTGGGGACTGACTTCAAACTAAATTTAGCAGATTTTTAAAATGTATGAAGTGATTTGCCCTGATAAATTAATCCACTTAAAAAAATTTTTTTAAAGATTTTATTTATTTATTTGACAGAGATCACAAGTAGGATAGAGAGGCAGGCAGAGAGAATGAGAGGGAAGCAGGCTCCCTGCTGAACAGAGAGCCCGATGCGGGACTCCATCTCAGGACTCTGAGATCATAACCTGAGCCGAAGGCAGTGGCTTAAACCACTGAGCCACCCAGGCACCCCAATTAATCCACTTTTTTAAGGTAAATTTTATTCCAACCAAGGAAAAGTCACTTTAAATAAATAAGACTATAGAATACTCAAAAGCGTAGGGGCACCTGCTCAGCAGGGAGCCTGCTTCCTCCTCTCTGTCCCTCTGCCTTCCTCTCTACCTACTTGTGATCTTTATCTGTCAAATAAATAAATAAAATCTTTAAAAAAATACTCAAAAGCATAAATACATACATATGTATATGCGATGTATAGCTTAGGATACACTGTAAAGTATGACTGGGACAACAACAATAAATTTCACTGATTGCCGAAAGGCATCAGTGCATTCACACTCTATGAAAATAGCATCCAGATGGTATTTCAAGGGCCCCCCCTTTTTTTTTTCCTATAAAACTTTTCCCCTTCTTATCTTCACAAACAGAATGACACTTAATATAGGGTTGTTGAGTAGCAGGAAAATGTTCAGGTTCACAATTGTGATTCTTTTTTAATTTTTATCGATAGGCATTAGCATGACATTTTTCAAATTGGTATCCACAGGTTAAAAATAAGTTTTTCCCTGATTATAAAGCAGTGGCCATTCAAGGTTGAAAACTTTGGGTGCTGACAAATGAGAAAGCATCCATAATTGCTCACCTACAGCCCACGTCTAGATATAATTTGTGTTCATGTACTTGGGATCATTCAGTTTTGTTTTCTATGTTTTCTATTTAACACCGTAGAGGATTGTTCTTTCCCTTTTCCACTTTTTCCAAGTATTACAATGGACCCAAAGGATCTTACTTTATTCTGTGTTACAGTCACCTAAAGTTGCTAGTCTCTTTTGATTCTCAAATTGTTCCAAATTTGTCTAGTGAGATCCCCTCTAAGGGGTCCCTCTGTTCATGACACACGAATTTATTAGTTCTCTTTTTAAAAAATTGTCATAAAATATACATAAAATTTACTTAACTGTTTTTAACTGTGCAATGCCATATTGTTAAATCCCTTCATATTGTTGTGCAATTGTTCTCTGGGACTTTTTTCATTTTGCAAAACTGAAACTCCACACTCATTAAACAACTCCTCATTTCCTCCTCCCTAAGCCCCTGACAACCACTATTATACTTTCTGTTTCTATGAATTTGACTATTCTAGATATGTCATGTAAGTGGAATTATAGTAGTTGTCTTTTTTTGTGACGGCTTTTTTCACTTAGCACAATGGCTTCAAGGTTTATTCATGTTGTAGCATGTACCAGAATTTCCTTCCTTTTTAAAGCTAAATATTGCATGGTACATACATATTTTATCTTGCTTATCCATTCACCCATCAATGGACACTCAGATTGCTTCCACATTTCAGCTCTTGTGAATTCAATATGAGTATACAACACATAAATATTGTATAATATTATTTAATATGTAAATAGCTCTTTGAGACCAATCATGCTTCCAGTTCTTCTATGTATATACTCAGAAATGGAATCTCTAGATCATGTGGCAATTCTATATTTAATTTTGGGGGGAAGCACCTCATATTGTTTTCCATAGTGCTGGCACCATTTTACATTCCCACTGACAGCACACCAGGCTTCCAATTTCTCCACATCGTCCTCAACACTTTTTATTTTCTGGATTTTTTAACAGCAGCTATCCTGATGGATGTCCCATTAATCTTTGAACATGCTATTGCATTCTGGTTCAGATGTTCTGGCTTACCTTGCCCCAGACATGGAATCAGTCATTTCTCTAAGAAGCCTTGCTTCTTTTAAGTGGGAACTGGAATTCTGAAATTAAGATCCGGGTGCTCAGTGTGCTTAGGCTATTGGAGTAGCATTGATATTGGGGTGTAATATTACTTCGAGATCCTTCCAGTATGCACGACTAGAACATATTTTTTTAAAGTGATGAATTCACATTAATATCTCTAGTTCACATTTAACATTGGAGGGTTTTTCTTATTTTATATTTGTATCTTTTCTTTTACAATGAAATCTTGGTTCTTAATGATATGAATATACTTACTTCATTAAAAAAAGGTTTCAAAATTTCATTACTAACAGCAGTGTGAATAATAAGCGTGCTAAGAGAAATTTCCTTGCAGATCCTTCCATCCTTAATGTCTAAGGCTTATATATATCCATGAAAGATATTCAGTCCGAGTACTTTTTCTTTCTTTTATGTGGTTATATACAAACATCATCATTTGATTGATTAATTAGATATGCTTGTTTCTGTTTGTGTTCAATTTTAGGGCTTGATTCTGTTTTACCGTTTTCATTTTGTGAACATGTAAAACATTAACGTGATTCAAAATTAAAACCATATGCATACACTTCCTATAAGTAACCATTTTTACTCACTTCTGGGTTATCATTCTTTTTTTTAACCCAACATAAGCAAATATGTGTACATATATTCTCATTTCCCTCTTACACAAAAACTGATATACTATATATCCTATTGCACTTCCTACTTTTTTCCCTTTAATAATACTTTCTGGAAATCATTTTATGATCATTCTTAGGGATGAGTCCCTTTCTTTTTTGGGACTGCATAGTAGTTTTTTAACTTTGTACTGGGTTGTTTCCAGTCTTTTGCTATTATAAATAATACCATAATAATTGCCCATATGCAGTTTTATATTTATTGAGTCATATCTTCAGAGTATAGTCTTCGAAGTGAAATGGTTCGGTGGTAGGGTAAATGCACAAGTTATTTCATTAGGCTTTGCTAAATTCTCCTCCATAGGAGCTATGCCATTTTAGTGTCCGACCAAGTGGTGTATGAGAATGTCTGTCTCTTCACAGCTTTGTCCACAGAATGTATTGCTAAGGATTAAGGTTTTTATTTTATTTTATTTTATTTTTTTAACCAATCTGGTAGGTGAGAAATGGCATCTCTGTGTGGTTTTATTTTTTCACTTCTCTATTCTGAATATGGTTGAAGACTTAAGGGCTTTGCTTTCCTGTTTATGTGGACTTCCATTCATGCCTTTTGCCCATTTTTAAGTCTCATTTTAAAACCTTTTCTTCTCACCTTTTTTAAAAAAGATTTTATTTATTTATTTGAGAGAGAGAATGAGAGATAGAGCATGAGAAGGGGGAGGGTCAGAGAGAGAAGCAGATTCCCCATGGAGTTGGGAGCCTGATGTGGGACTCAATCCCGGGACTCCAGGATCATGACCTGAGCTGAAGACAGTCGCTCAACCAACTGAGCCACCCAGGCGCCCCTTCTTCTCACCTTTTAAGAGTCCTTTACGTATTAAGGAGATTAGCTTTTTGGGTTATAAATTGCAGATATTTCCCCCAGTTTATCATTTATCTTTTGACTTTTCTTATGTCTCTTGCCATACACAATTTTTTGTGTGTGAAAAAAGATCATTCAATTCACTGATTTTTTATAGCTTTTGGATTTTCAAGTCATAGTTAGAAAAGCTTTCTCCTAGAATTAGGATTTAAAAAATTATTAAATACATGATTTTTGTTGTCACATAATAATCTATTATCTCTTAATTTCCAAATTAGTGGGCATTAGTCTTTATCCTTTTTTCTGGTATAAATATAATTAAATATGTGACAAACATATTTGTAAATAACTCTTTGTTTGCTTCTACTATTTCCTAGGTTGAAAGGCATGATGTTATTTAAATTTGATACGTGTTACCAAACTATTTCCAAGGTGGTACCAAGTTACACTCCCACCAACAGAGTTTAAGTTCTTACCTCCAACACCTTCAAGAGCAATACATTTTAAAATTTAAAACCAAAACCATGTTCTAATTTCATACATAAAACATTGCATCATTTTTTTCATTGCCTTTTATATTCTTGAAGAACCACACCTTTTCATGTTTTTATTCCATACTTTTATTTCTCCTATATATTATGGACTCATGGCCTTTGCCACATAAAAATTGGCAATGTTTTTTCTTATCTATTTGTTTACCTGATCCTGTTTGACAAGACAAGAAATGAGAGAGTCTTATGGCTAGGAACAAGAACACTCTGAGAGTTAGAAGACAAGACCTATGAGAAAGGTTAAAGACCTATACAGAAGACTTAATTTTTCAAAACGTAGCTTGTTTTCTAGCTTCCACCAGGACACAATGGTACAGAAAAGGCTGGCATTGCATATTCTGAGTTGCTCTGGTAGATATGAAATGGTGGTCATGGCTTCTTCTCCCCTCCTGTTTCCATGCTTTTGCAGGCTTCCGGGGACCTTAGCCAGGCTGGACCTAAAAGGCAATGCCATCCAGGATATTGCTGAGAGGGAGCTCAAGGATCTGAAGAAACTTCAGGTTCTAAACCTTAGGAACAACAGGATTTCTGCCTTAGACCTCAAAGTTTTGGAGGGGTTGCCTCGCCTCAGACACCTGTACCTGGATGGAAATCCGTGGAATTGCACCTGCAGTCTCGTAAGAGCGAGGGAGATCCTGAAGGCCAAGGGCACAGATGTGAGGGGAGGACAATGTGCTGCACCAGCTGAACGACAAGGGGAGAGCTGGATGTCCTCCAAGAAGATCATGAGACAGTGTGAGCATCACTTACATCTGATGGAGAAAAACAAAGAGACCAAAAAGAAACCAAAACCAGAAGAGCACTCCAGCATCAGAATCAACATTGATGATGATGATTATGATTATGAAATAGATTAAGTATGAAATTTGTTTATAGTTTAGAAAAAGTTTTTCTTAAAATAGACTTCATTTTAGAGCAGTTTTAGGTTCACAGAAAAACTGAGAGCAAGATATAAAAATTTCCCATGTGCCTCCTACTTCCACACATGCATGACCTCCCTGATCTCTACATTCCCCTTCAGAGCAGGACATTTATTACAATTGAAGAACCCGCATGGACACATCGTCATCACCTAAAGTCCATAGTTTGCACCTGGGTTCGCTCCTCGTGGTGTGCATTCTGGGAATTTGGACAAATGTATGATGACATGTATCTATCACTGTATTATCACACAAAGTAGTTTCACTGCTTTAAAAATGCTCTGCATTCCAGGAAAAGTTTTATCGTGTTCAGTCTCTTAAGCAGAAATAGTCAATAATTTTAGATATGTAGGACTCTTTTTGTAAGTTGCTGTTTTGTTTTTTCTAAAAATGAACTGAGAGTTAAGGTAAGTTGAGGTGGCGGAGGAAAGGGAAAGGAACAGTGGTAAAAAGATGTGAGATTCCTTCCACTTAAAAAGCCATTTGTGGGGACGCCTGGGTGGCTTAGTTGGTTAAGCGGCTGCCTTCGGCTCAGGTCATGATCCCAACGTCCTGGGATTGAGTCCCGCATTGGGCTCCTTGCTCTGCAGGGAGCCTGCTTCTCCCTCTGCCACTCTGTCTGCCTGTGCTCACTCTCTCTCTCTCTCTCTCTGACAAATAAATAAAATCTTAAAAAAAAAAAGTCATTTGTGTTCTATACTGAAATCTACACAAATAACGATGCCAAATAAAATTGCCATCTGGTTAACTTCCTGCAAATAGAGTAGTTCATTTTATCACATAAGGTGATGACTTCTGGGTATGAAGCTGGTGCTTGCGGTCCTACACTACAGGCTTTTGACTAAGCAATAGAAACAGACTCCAGGTTAAGCAGGAAAGAAAGTGTTGGAAAGATTGGGTCTAGCTCCCAAAATCAAAGGAAAAGCTGAAGAATCTAGAGAGAACAGGAATCAGAACTGCTCCAGGGCCCTAAGCAGAAGGACATAATGGAGAGGCCCTCAGCTTCTTCCAGGTTCTCTGTGTAGAACGAAGAGCTCCCGCTATCATCAGTGTTGTCTTCTCCACATTCATATCTTCAGAAGGAGAGGCCAGTTGGCCTAACTCCGGTCACATATTCACCCTTGGCTGGGAGAGCAGGTCTGGCCTGACAGTCTTAGCAAGACTAAGGGAAAACCAAAAAAAGGAATTGTAAACTTTCCCCTTATATAGGGTGGATGTTCCTATCTGAGTTACATTTGGGGTTCCCTGCATGGACCACAATCCCCACACCCCCTTCCCTTTGATGAACTGCATTCTTTTGAGAGTTGCCTGCCTAGGGATAGAGGTGGGACTGTAGAATAATTTTTTTCTATCCCTCTACTTATAAATATGATCTATTAGGATATAAATCTAAAACCCCATCTAAATTGGCTCCTTTTCTAAATGGTAAGAGTCATCTGTTTATTTATTTATTTTTAAAGATTTTATTTATTTATTTGACAGACAGAGATCACAAGTAGGCAGAGAGGCAGGCAGAGAGAGGGGGAAGCAGGCTTCCCACTGAGCAGAGCGCCCAATGTGGGACTCCATCCCAGGACCCCGGGATCATGACCTGAGCTGAAGGCAGAGTCTTAACCCACTGAGTCACCCAGGTGCGCCTGTTGTATTTATTTTTGAGAGTTTTCCACCAAAATGCTTCTAAAGGCAGAGAAAGTAAATAGTAGAGATTGAACGGATGAGTAATAGACCTACCAGCAACTTGAACTTTCTCTACAGTGTCATGTTTTCAAATTTTATGCAGAATTTGCATTATTGCTTTATGTCCACATTTTCTTCTTCCAAAATCTTTATGAAATGGACATTCCTTGAAAAGGAGCTTGATTTTCACTGTGGCTGTTAGTATTCCTTGACACACTGACAGGTACCCCAACTACATAAAGCCCAGAAATACAGAAATAAAGGAACTCATAGATCACTTTTCTTGTTATTGTATGGGTTTCAACTCTTGTAATGTGTCAGACCTATCATTCTGAGAAAAACCAATGATTTGTGATATATAATAATTTTTGCCCACTGCCATTGCCTGGGTATTAATAGTCAGAATTCCCAAGGTATGAGGGCCTTGAGAAAGAATCTAGTCTTTTACAGACGTAAGAATGCAGTCTCAGAGGGGTGAAGTCAAGGTCAAGTTCATACACATAGAAAATGGCAGAACTAGTAGTTGACTGCATCTGTTTTTTGTTTTTGTTTTTGTTTTTTTTTATTTTGTCCAGTACTCCTTCTACAGAATTTGCTGTTAAGATTCACTTAGGACACTCTACTCACAAACAATGTCCAGAATACTAGAATGTTCCATTAGATATGTGAATTCATCTGCTTTGGTGACCATAACAAAATACTACAGGCTGGTATTTTCTCACAGTTCTAGAGGCTAGGAAGCCTAAGATTAAGATGTCATCAGCGTTGGTTTCTGGTGAGGCCCCTCTTCCTGGCTTGTAGACCACTGCCTTCTTGCTCACAAGATCTTTTCTCATGTGCATGTGGGCATGTGCACACTGGGAAAAAGTGAGAGAGATCTATGGTGTCTCTTCTTCTTTTTTTTAAAGATCTTATTTATTTATTTGATAGAGATCACAAGTAGGCAGAGAGGCAAGCAGAGAGAGAAGTAAGCAGACTCCCTGCTGAGCAGACAGCCCAATGTGGAGCTCAATCTCAGGACCCTGGGATCATGACCGGAGCCAAAGGCAGAGGCTTTAACCCACTGAGCAACCCAGGCACCCCATTGTGTCTCTTCTTCTTATGAGGATACCAGTCCTATTGGATTAAGACCCCACCCTTATGACCTCATTTAATGTTAATTGCCTCCCTAAAAGTCTTATCTCCAAATACAATCACACTGGGGGTTAGGGCTTAACATAAGAAATGTGGGGGACACAATTCCGTCCATAACAGTATGTATATGTACGTATAATGCATGTTTGTATCTACCCACCTACTTATACTATCTCAGTTTTGGGCTCTTGATTAAGTTTGTTGATTAACTTACAAAAAAAGGAATAAGAAAAAGGTAAAGGCGGGGGAGGACAAAGTAGAAAAGGATTAAGAAACTTTAAAGCCTCGCTCTCTCACATTTATACTTACCTAGAGTTTTTTAAAGATCAGGTATTTAGCTACTACCCCAAGAAGGCCGCTAGAGGGCAACGTTGAGCTATGGGGCAGGTAAAACTACGAAGAAAGATGAACTATAGACTGAGATGATGCTTCGTGATCCCAGAAGGCGGGTGTAGGTAGAGTGTCACTGGAGTAGGAGAAGGGGCCGTCATCTTGAACACAAGGGTCCATTTAATGCCTGAAAAGGGGGATTAGTTGGTGGTAGATAAGGAAAAGAGGAGATAAACTTCCTGAGACTAGGTTTTCCTGTGTTACCTTTTAGTGCCACTATGCCCTTATTTGTAAAGTGGGGACTGTAATACTAGCTCCTTGCGCCAATTCTTTCAAACTAAACCCATCTGGAAGAAAAACATTTTCTTAATTGTCCCCATAATTTGCAAATCTTCCTCCCTCTCCAAATGGAGACATTCATTGTTCTATACCCCAGATGCCAATTATACAGTGGCATATGTAAATGACGCCTCCTGGGATTACACAAAGGATAGCATGTGTCTATTCTGAAAGTGTTTTTATTCTCTCACTGCTTTCCTTCTCTCATTTCAAAGTATGTCTGCTTAGACCTGCCAAAAGTCAGAACCGAACCACTGCCTGGTCATAACCCTCCCAGTGGCTGCTCCCTTGGTGATACAAATCCTGGTTGAAGTCTTTAAATTGCCCACTGTAAGGGCTCGATTTTTCTTAGATGAAAGACTAGTCTTCCACTCTGCCTTGGGAAAGGGAGTGAGAATAGCCAAAATGAATGAGTAACTGAAATGAATGATCTGAATAGAAGGCACGGATGCTCCTTTCTGGCACACACAGGGTCAAACATAAAAGTACTACTTTTATCAGGGTGGAGAGTCTCATTCAGGAGAATTCTTAGTTTCTACTTGGAAATGCTCAGAATGTATATAAACTTTCAAGAGTTTTTCCCTCACAGACTTTATAACTTTCTGTTATCCCTTTTTTAAAAAAGATTTTATTTATTTGACAGAGAGAGGGGGATCACAAGTAGGCAGAGAGGCAGGCAGAGAGACAGAAGGGGAAGCAGGCTCCCTGCTGAGCAAAGAGCCCGATGCAGAGCTCAATCCCAGGACCCTGAGCCAAAGGCAAAGGCTTAACCCACTGAACCACCCAGGTGCCCCACTTTCTGTTATCCGATATATGCAATAGCAGGAACTCTGGACTTGCCTTCTTGAGATGTGTAGGCTTTCTGCTAATGCCTTTGCAAAGGGGCTCACAAGTCTCAAATTCTCTTTGTTGCATCTCTGAGACTCCTCCCTGACTTCATGTGGTTCAAGGACACCCTGGTTTTAGATGGAAAATTTGTCTCTAAGGCTAATGCTCAAGAACTCTCCTTTCTCTAAAAAAGTCCTTAAAAAAAAAAAAAAAAGAAGTCCTTCTTTTTCTCCAGTTGATCATTATGTCCCCTCATCAAATAATGTGCCGGTATTGAGGCTGTAACCAAAAATGCTGGTCTCCTCATTATAAAACAACCATGTTGGGGAAGGGGGAGGTCAGCTGATACTTAATGCTTTCATGTCTTTTAAATACAGGCTGTGTGGGTTTCACCAGGCCTTAATATCATTATTCTTTTAAAGCTCTGCTGTACCAGAGGTCACTGCTCGGTTATATCACCATCATTTAGTCAATTAGATATTTTGCTCTTAGCCCAGAGTGCTTAAACAAATGTCCTCATGAATGAGAAACTACCATCTTTACAAGTCAACCAGAAATTCAATGGCTTTCCATCGTATAATGGTGTAGTGAATGTTAAAAATTGGATTCTTAGCAGCTTATCAGTCTGA